GGTCAGTGTGTGTCATAGTGACCAGTCATTCCCAGTCGTTCTGCTGTTAGGGTCAATTTACATATTACCCTTTTATTATATAGGATAGAGGCCTGGTGCACGGGTGGGGGCTGGCTGGTTTGCCCTGGTCCACCTCTGTGACTTATTTCTGGAAGTTTGTACTTTTTAATCCTCTTCTCTCTTTTTCTAATCACAATGGAATGAATGAATGAGCAAAAACTGGAAAATTTACAAATATGTGAAAATTTAATAACACACTCTTAAACTACCAATAAGTGAAAGAAGAAAGCACAGGGAAATTTTTTAAAATTTAGAGGTGAATTTTGTGATAAGAATATATATGTAATAAAATAAAATTGCAATACATTAACATTATATGGCATGCCATCATCTATTTAACTCTCTTTCATTATTGGACATTTAAATTGTTTCTCCTTTTTGTTTCTAATTAATATTTTATGAACATCATTTTAGAAAAATTTTGTGTCCAAAGTTATGATTATTTTTTAAGGATACATTTCAAGAAGGAGGATTAGGGGGTTTAAAATACACATAACTGCAGAGATAGATTATATCACTGTAGGCTTCCAAAGAAATCTGAACCCTTCTAGCCCTTAGCCAGAATTATTCTTTGTAACTTATGCTATGCTGATAAGTAAAAAATGTTATCCGGTTGTTTTATTTTGTGTTTCTTAAGTACTGGTCAAGTTCAATCATTATTCATGTTTATTAGCCATATGCCATTCCCTTGAGAATTGAGCTTTGTGACAATTTGCTCATTTATATTAGATGTTTATTTTTTCAAATGATTTATATGAATTCTACTTATTAAAGATACCATTCCTTTTTTAGCCTTTTTCAGTCTTAAGAAGAACTTTTGTTTCACATTTGATTCTCTCCATGGAATCTTAAAATTGGTCTCAAATTTAGACCAATTAAATTTTCTAAGGTTTTTGTTTTGTTTGCTTTGTTTGCCTCAGAGGAGCTGTAAGATAGTGCTTATTCAGCCTGCAGGTCTGGTTGACTACCAACTAGTGGTCACATTTTCAAGGAAGATTTTCCACCTTCCTTTACCCTTTGTGAGGCTGGGAAAGCATGACTTTCCCGTGGCTGGTAGGTTATGGAGCATGTGGCCCCTGGTGTCCCAGCTTTAGTGAGTTTCCTCCATGAGTCCCCATCTTGGGAGGTTTGCTTTCTTACTAGTATAGAAATCAATGCTACAATCCATGGCATCTCTCTCTCCATCCTTCCCCTGGTCTTCCTTCAGGTCTCAGTTTAGATGGTGCTTCTGCCATGGAATTTACCATACTCTGCTATGAAAGCTGTTTTTCTGTTTCCCCACTAGACTGTGAATTGCTTAAAAGTGTGACTGTGTCTGGTGCTCTCATATATACATCTATATTCCCAGCACCGGGCACATTTCCTAACACACTGTAGGCACTCAATCATTATTTGATTAATAATCAGACAAATGAATGGACTTTTCATCTACTACCAGCATTTCAAGCAGTAGTAATTTAATTAGTAAGACTGACAAGTGAAAGTACAACTTCAGGATGTTTTATCAACTGTGATTAATTTAAAGCCCTTAATGCCTAAAGGCATACTTTGTAGGTGAAAACTCTGCTGTACTAATACCTGAAAACAGTACCTGGTTTTCAAATTTCTTTTTTTCAAATCAGTTTGCTTAACCTTCTTTTTAAAAAAAATTGATGAGAGAGAGAGAGAGAGAGAGAGAGAGAGAGAGAGAGAGAGAAAGGGAAGGAAAGAAAGAGGGAAGAACATCAATTTTTTAAAAACGTTTTTATTGATTTCAGAGAGAAATGGAGAGGGAGAGATAGA